GGGAAGGGAAGGGAAGGGAAGGGAAGGGAAGGGAAGGGAAGGGAAGGGAAGGGAAACTATTTTGTGTGAAGGAAAGAAAGGAATAATCCTCATAAGAGGATTCTGAAGCAGAATTGTACTTTAGAGGACAAAGGAAATAACTCACAAAGATTTAGGAATGGAATTTCACCTCGTTGTTAAGTTATTTTACAATGAGCAGGAACAGATTTGGAAATTTGAGTAATAGTGTTTGTGAATTGTTTTTGGCAAATGTCTTTTCCTGTAGGAGCAATTAATTTTTTTTTTCTAGTTGCTTTGTAAAAAGGTGCTCATCTCTTCTCTACTGAGGATAAAGTCACTAATATATGCACAGAAATAAATGTTAGTAAAACACAGTAACCAATTTCTAATGGTTTCCTATTAAATGTAAAGAATGTTATATAGGTAATAGAGCAGATGACAGAGAGCACAATCTTAGACTCAGATAAATGTGAAAAAAAGTTAGAGAATGGATTTCTCAGACACATTTGCCTGTATGTAATTGTTATGCAGAGCTAAGAAAATTGTAGATTCTGTGTGCAGTCTGTATAATGTGGCATTATTTCCTTCCCTGCTGTAAACATACACGTTTTTATGCAATACTGTGAACTTTGAATCTATGAATAGTAAGTCTTTTTATAAATTGGGTTTTTAAAAATCTTAACCAGTTACGAATCCCCTTCACATGTGTGAATTAATATGATTTCTTTTTTATGTGGTTGACTTCAAAATTATTTATGTAAATGTTGTGGAAATTCGAGATTTTAAATGTTGAAATTGTTTCAAAAATCTATTGTGTTCATTTTCTGCATTTATCTTCCCCAGCTCTCTTGGCACTTCATCTGTGTCAGGATCTTGCTTATTTGTCGCTATAAACATAAATACACAGGCAAATCTGCGATCAGGGCCTTATTAGTTTTATTTATTCAGTCATTTAAATGACTGGATTCACTAGTTGATAGCTAAATTTCAAGTTATCTTTATGAAATGGTCCTGGTTTTCTGGAATTATGTCTGTTTTATCTGTGGTTTAAACAAGGGATTAAAAGACAGACTGCATTAGAAAAAGCATTAGAAAAATCAAAGAGTAAATGTACATCAGTGACTAGAAATCTGGCCTCGCTTGGGAGTTCTGCTTCTCTAAGAATAGCATTCAATCTTGAGGACTGTTCTAGGGGTTGGACAGTTGACCTTTACTCCAGAGCTGTCCCAATAGTTTCTGAAGCTGTTTATATCTCAAAACCATTCCAAACACAGTCTTGAGCTCATCACACTAAAGCAATTTTCTCTTGGTGCTCACATCTGGTTCCCTTTTCCCTGTTGTTTATATCATGTAAAGGCATAAGAGAAAGAAATTCATAGAGCTTTTAAACACTTAGCATTTCCTACAGAAACAGCTTCTCCACTATTTATAGGGGTAGTGCACAAGTCCCAGTGGCTTCAGAGACAGAAACATAGTCGGGCAGGGTGTAGTGTGATGCTGAATTCTAACCTACATTTTTAAGAAAAAGAAAGCGCGTGTGTCTATGCTTTTGTAAGACCAATAATAATAAAACTACAAAAACCTTCATTCGTTTCAGAAATGTTTTTTATTCTTAGGTGGCTTGGGTAGTTCTTTAGAAGTCTGCAGAAAATACATCTTTCTCTTTTTTATTTAGTATCTTCTTTAGGGAACTCTGTATGTCCTTTCTGTGAAGAGATGATGTGTTTAAGCAGGCTTCTCTGTATCCACCAAGAAGATAGAGAGTTGGTTCCATAAGTTGTGAATGCATTCTGCTGATCACCTAATGCAAAGCTGGTATTTCTCTAAACAAGATTGACATCTACTAGCAAAGTAGAGTAGTTTATAAGCAACTTGTAGAAATTAAAATGCTATCTAGATATTCACCTAATTACTCTTGTTATGGCTGTCAAAAATATATGTGGTTCCAGATTCCACTGAATATCAGTAGTAATTGGGAGATAGAAAAAAACTCCATTTTTCATCATGAGAGCTGACAAACCATTTGTCCAAAATCCAAATTAAAAATCCAAAACTAGAAGAAGCTTATTTCTTATGGGAATCTGAGTTATGTACATGATATTTAACTATTGCCTAAAACCTTGAATTTTCTTCTCAGCCCTGAGCCACTGTCCTCTCAGTTATCTGGGACCTTCCTTTGCTTCCCTATGCACAGTCTCCAGAGAAAACCAACCACCTGTTAAAGCATTTTGTGTCTTTTCCACACAGCTGCTCAACAATCTGTCTCTCTGCTTATTGTTGGGAAGAGCTGTGACTAAATGTTAGCCTGTTTAGTTTCACATCTCCTCACAGGAAATGTCTCCTCCTTATCACTGTTAACCTCAGGAAATTATCCTTCAATCCCCACTGCTTCTGCTTTGTGAAAGCAGGAAGAACTGTGATAAGCATAAATCCCACTGAGCTTTGCATTTCACAAAAAGCGTGCTAGGATTTCAAATGGAGAGCAACTTCAAGATCAGGTGAAATACAGTCCTAGGAATAATCTGGGGCAGGAGATGCAGGCTGAGAATGTAAGCTCACATGGGCTTTAAACTGTCCAGGTTTTCTGTGACATGTCAGTGAGTTGTAAATCTGCAGCACAGAGTGTTTAACTGAGGCAGTCAGATATAATACTGGCATGGGACTGTCTTTAAATAAGGCTTGCATAAAGGCCATTCATATTAGGGGTTTTTAAATTGAAGTTACTGTTTTTCCAAACTCAGTCAAAAAAATGCTGTATATGCACAGCAAAATGATGTGTCATACTCACCTATGTTGTTCCCCAAAATGAATAAAATAATTTATCCTACTGGGTATCTTGAATCTGAATGCTAGAATGGTACCAATAAGGCAATATTAGAATATAAGGATTTAATTATTTTTTTAGAAGTAGAATCTTTGCCTTTCCAAATAGAAAATTTGAGTTATGTATTGATATGAAAGATTCCTAGCTTTATTAATCAGTGGTGTATCAGAGATGTGAATGAGCAAAACGTGTTGAGTTTATGCCCAGTTACAAAAGACTTAGACACTGAAATTTTGGATAGTTTGAGAAAATATATCAAATCAGAACTTGAAAATGGGACATGGTTCAGAAGCACCTGAAAATTTGAATGGTCTTAATGTCCACACAACTTTTGTGGCACTTAAAGAGACTGCTTACATTTCTGTCTCACTTCTGGGGTGGTAAGAGGCAACAAAGTATGAGTATTTCATCCCATAAAACTTTGAAATATGAGTGTCAAGAATTCCTATGCTGCATTAGAGAATTTAAAATTTAAAAGGGTTCTAGTTCACAGGTTTTGAGATATTATGGGTTTGGAGGAATTAATGTATTGCTTAAAAGTTCCTGTTTCTGGTAGTGTTTCCCCTCTCTGTTGGCTCTCTACTTTTGATATAAAATGACAACATCAACCACTATTTTGCTTTTAAGTGACAATCCTGATTTAACTGGGTTCCAAGAGTTTTCCCAGTTAGGTCTGGGCAGAAGTGTAAGACCCCAACTCATATATTTGAATGAAAGATAAAACATTTTTATTGGCAGAGTTGACCTCACCTAAAAAACACTGTTTGGAGAGCAGATCTGTAGGTCCTGCTAGAAGGCATTTCATAACATAGATAAGAGCAGTTCTAATGAAGAAATAGTGAGAGTTTTTCCTTTCACATCTACCACCTTCTCACTCCCCAGAAAAATCCTTTTCAGCATGCATACCTTTTCCTTCCCAACTTCCAGTTACATGGGAAGAAGGCAGAAAGGACAGGGAAGGGTGAATGAAATGTGCTGGTTAGTCCAGGTCAGCATTCTCTGGGCAGACCGCTTCATAACCCAAATATAACATTTTGTGTCATCTTTCTGTGTTTTTGTGTCTCCCTTCAGGACATTACTGGGGTTACTGCCTCTTTAGAAATGCTGACCTAACTAATTTTCACAGCTGCATGTGACCTATATGTTAATTCACATCACGGTTTAAATGCAGTTGGCAAAGTTCCCAAGGGATTCAGAGGAGCAAGATTCTTCTTTAAGGCCTATTTACATGACAGGGCTTCTGCTTTTCCAGGGGCTTTCTGCTTGCAGTGTAGAAAGAGAAGCAGAATTATAGCCTTTATGATCATTAAAATAAGAGGTGTGAAAGGGGTACCTGAGAACAGTAGGAGACCATCACATATCATGGACGGGATCATGGAGAAGCTGTGGGGTTTAAGTGGGAAAATATCAAGTGAGAAATGGGAAAGCTATTCTGGTTAAATATCAGAATAAGCTTATGCTCCTCTACTTTACCACAAACACTGATTCAAAATATTTGAGAGTTTTAAGTGGATTTGTGATGAAATAGAAACTTATTAGTTACTTATGAAAACCATAAATAGTTGTGAAAGAGTTGGGAATAAATAAAATGAACAGGTTTGGATTCTTCCAAGCAGAAGGTTCTTACTACATTTAACAAGTTCCTTTTCCAGATTTTTAGTAGGAAGTCTTGGCATTTTTAATTGGTCCTAAGGTTTTTCTTTTGACTGCCTTGTAAACACCTCTTTCAATGCTTATTTTAAAACAGATGGGAATTTCCTTGTTTATTTACTCCATGTGTTTTTGCATTCCCACAGTGGATGATACAGTGGTTGCTATTCCCTATGGAAGTAGACAAATTCGCCTCGTGCTGAAAGGACCTGATCATTTATGTAAGTAGAAGGAGTTGGTGTACCCTTGTTTAAGAGAGCCTTGGTAACCTGCAGTGCTCTGTTTACACTGTGGTGTCTGGTTTCCCTATCTCAGATTACTGATTTCATCACACAGATGAGTCCTGCTCTCAGAAGTTTTCCTCAGACCCAGTTATCTCAGTGGTACACTCTTTTCAAAGCAGACCTTGGCCAACAGTGCAGAATTCTTCGGCCTCCCATAATTTTTTGGTCATTTCTGTTTGCTTATGCTTTGGCTGGCTCACTTGGTGTCAAGTGATTTTGTTTAAAATTAATAAAGTACATACCACTGAGTGAAAAAATATTGAGAACAGTAAAGTATCAGCTTCCCGCAGCTCAGCTCAGCCACCAAGCTGCTCATGACATTAACACATTTCTGTTATGATCTTTTTCTCTCCCCTGGATACACATATGCATTCACACCATGTGTGTGCACATGCACACACACACAAAATCTCACTCTAAAGATCTGAAACCGCATACAAAAATATAACCGTGTTCTTTAGCAGTGATATTGCTCCAAGGAGTTAAGACCACTGAGTTCTGCTAGCCCATCATTTGGCTATAACACTTCCCTGCTTCATCTGTGTATCCCAGCAGCTGTATATCCCTCTTTCCTGGAAGGAGTCTCAGGATATTGAGAATATTCTGCTAGAGCTGAAGGCAAATCCATTTGTTCAACGAATAGAAGATCCTGGCACCCCTCTCTCTCATCTTCCAGTGCAGTAGCTGCTCACAAGCTACTTCCTTTCTTATCAGCAGGAAATTAATATTAGAGTATTAGTAAATAGGATTTACTGTCAGAATAAAAACCCAGTCTGTACTGCTTGACCTCTCAGTAGCACAAATTGTGGTAAGATAAGTCAGGCTACCCTTTCCCTTTTCCAAAAGTCTTTAGGAATTTTCTGCCATACAGACCATTTACGTCTTCTGTGTTTGTCAGTGTAGGTACAAATATGAGTGTCAGCAAAGATGTGAAACACCAAATCATTTCACTGCCTTCATATTTTCTTTCACCTCACAATTGTATACACGATATCAAAATAAGTGATGGTTTACTGGGGCTGTACTATGGCTCCCTCCTTGTGTTAAGAAAACACTGAGTTCTTCAGATTTAAAGCTGTGCATAAAGACCAGCAAATTACAGGTTATAGACCAAGCAAAAAATTTATTAAGTTTTTGTTAAAAGTGCAAATGCTGCCTGTACCTCAACTTTAAGCAGCCCTTTGTGTATTCCTGAGCTGCTCCAGTATGGCTGATATTATTTTCCCAGTACATGACATGCACTCTTCCTTTCTCTCTTGTCTTCTTTTCTAATATAGATATTCTCTTCCAAGGTAGAAAATTTTGTCCTTTTGTTATTGTTTCAGTGAAATTGAGCTATAAAACAGCTCAGAGAGAAATGAGATTTTCTGGAGAGATGGATCTAAAGCTTCACTCAGGCCATATCATATTTCATTACAAAAAGATTTGAATCAGCAAGGTCTGCCTCAGTCACTTGTTGAGATTTAGATTAACTGCACTGTGTAAACATGAATATGCCCAAATATATCTCTTTCTTGTTTCAGATGTCTCCTTGAATCTTTCTGTTCACTCATCAAAGGATTTTATCTATGTATGAGCTACAGTCAGTTTCAGGGAGAGGGAGTATTTTCCCCTGTGAACTTCGGTTGTGGGAGAAGTCAACAGGAGGCTGATTATATATACACAAGTCTTAAATCCATCTTTATTTCTGATGCATGCAGCTTGCCAAAAACAAATAGATGGCCAAGTGCATCACAAAGGAGGAGACTGGTATCACTGAAAACCAAGGAATTCATCATTACAGTGAAAATTCTTAGTGTACTGCCTCGGCAACTTCCTTCCTTCATTAGTTCCCTTAATCCATAATGAAAAGCAGTGAAATTACTGCAATTGCATTTTCTATTCCCTAATTAGAAACTCAATACATGCAAATAAAAACTTTTTTTCTTTAATTGTCTTTGAAAATATATCTCCATCATAGATTAATAGCATGCCTTAACTGCCTCACTGTGATAGAGTTTTTCTGCTTGTGTTCATAAATATATGTGAAAGGTTTGCAGCTTTACAATCTTTCGCGGTGAAAGACCCTGTTGTTTTTAAATAACTACCAGAAACGTTTTATCTGTGAATGTGCTGTAAAGCATATTCTGGAGTTGGTGAATGATGAAGCAGACCTAGTTTCTGACTGTTGACTTCTATTTAAAGAATTATCATTACTTTTAATATGACAATCAGAAGTAGCTACTACAGAACAGTAACTGAATTAATGCCCTTTTGGGGAACTGTGAATACAGAGAGAGATAGAGGGAGAACTCAGGTGGGTTCAGCACCCACATTCCCCTTCTACTCCTCTGGGATGGGTCAGACTGCTTCTGGAGAGGAAATGGGATTGCTGTCATACTGATCTTTCTTTCCTGGATATCCTGCTTTCAGTTAAACGTCTACCACAACAACATGTGGTTAGTGACCCACCTTTGAACTGCAGGAGGGTACAGCAACTTAGCAGTGCTCTGGGCCAAGGTCTGAGTCATGCTCCACAAAGGAGCGTGACTTACTGAGGGTGAGTTAAACAACGGCAAACATGCCTAACAAGGAATGGATTAGTATGTCTGGAAGAGAGTAAAAACATGACCTATGGGTGAGAAGGGGAATGTGAGCTAAAAGTTAAAGGTTTGAACAAAGACAAAAAGCAGATGGAAGAGAAAAAGGAAAAGGAAAGTGTGCAAATGTGAGTAACTATGGGAAAAGAGTTGCAGTATTACTAATTTTTGCTGTTGTTTGGGATTCTTTTGTTTGTTTTTTTTTTTTTTTTTTGTACTTTCACTTCAAATTGCAATGCTCTGGTTTCCTGACATTTTTTTTCTGTTTGTCAGATTTGGAAATTAAGACTCTCCAAGGTGTGAAGAGTGAAAACAGCCTCAGCACCACTGGCTCCTTCCTTGTAGAAAATTCTAGCATTGATTTCCAGAAGTTTCCTGACAAGGAGATCTTAAGAATATCTGGACCTCTCACTGCAGACTTTACTATCAAGGTGAGGGTCATTGGTCATTGACATCTTAGAACAACATAAGGTAAGACAAGAAGTGCTAGAAAGATGAAAGAGATTTTTCTAGATCTTAATTTTCCCATTGATGTTTATCACAAAGCCTAATAAAGGCTATCGCTTGAACTCTACATGTAATTCTTTATGGTTGTATGTCTGATGAAAGCCTCACGGGAAACTCCTAAGGAGAGAGAGACTGCATTTATGTCAGGAAAGGCATATCCAATATATGCCCTAAAAAGAAAAGATGAACTCATTTCAAGAAAAGACAGATTACTTTCTATATGCACTACTGAGGTACTTATAAATCAATGACATGCAGTTATCTTTGTCTTGATAAGTAGAAAATACATCTTTGGCCCATGGCTTGTTGGGTGTATATAGTGTAATTGCACAGAAGACTGAAAGAAAGTGAAAAGCTCTAAAATAAAGGGATAACTTTGCTTGAGAAGTCATGGCATCATTTTGAAGTCCTGCTTTTAGTTGCACTGGCAATAAGAGGAAAATTGTTTCTTCCCATTAGAGCATTTCTGTTCTTCCAGGTAATATAAAACACATTGCTGGAAGCAACGCAGACATTCTGTGGGAAAACAAACATACAAAAACAAACATTTGGGAGTTGCAATAAAATAAATCCTTTTCCAGTAGGTCCAAGGAACCTGAAGGATTTCAGCTGTAAAACTGCAAAACCTGTATCATGTCCAGGACTGTGTAAATTTTTCACTATGAGCCCCAGAGGTAGATGACATTTGCTTTAACCTAGAGCTAATGGCAGCTAGAGGTTTGAACAGTGTACTGGAAAATGTCCTAAGTGATTGTCCTGGGTTAAGCTGAGCTGTGCTGGAGTGGGTTAGCTTGGAAAGTAGCACAGTCCTGCAGAATGTCCTCTGTCCATCGTGGTATGTTAGCAGCTGAAAAAGCAAATTAAAATTTTCAGGACTCATTCACAAGGAGAAGCCTGGACTAAGGAATATGTTCCTTCCTTTACGAATGGCAGAACAACGATGACTTGCTAAAATAGATACTGTTCAATTCAAAATATCTAAAACTCATTTACCTCTTTTACAGATGATACAGAGATGGCAAACATCAGTGCAGTGTAAACCATATTTCTCACTTTGTTTTATTTCTGCTGTCTGTGAATGTCTGGCAGATTAGTTATAATATGTTTATGGGAAACAGCTAATCAAATAGACCATTTGTCTTGCAATGGCAACAGGAGGGTTCTATGCTCTTCCCTATCTTTCCACGGTTGTCTTTTATGACAGGAAAAATACCTTTATCCCTTAGTGCTTGCATTTCCTTCTCTATCAAAGCAAGGGAAGAAGTGCTGGTTAAATCAAAGGAGTAATCTGTATAAATGATGACAGTCCAACCAATGTGATTGTACAAGTTGACTAGGCATGGGCAACACAGACAGTGCTGAATTGAGGTGAAATTATTTTGAGTTCTGCTATGTGTTTGTACCTTTGAAAGTCAAAGTAACCTGACTCATTAGGTGTTAAATCTGTTGTCTTTTTTTTTTTGGATATAGAAAAAGACGCCAAAAGCCCCTAACCCACTGTTCATGGTTGTAGGATCTTTTCTAAGATTAGAATTCAATTTTGCAGTGGATGAGGCACTAAAAAATTCTCTTCTCTTGAATCACAGTACATTGTTAATCAACAGCTATAGAAAATACTTTGGCTATTCCTTCATGCAACACAGATATTATTCTGCACTATTAAATTATTTTTCTAACAAGGTTTTTTTCTTCTGGATGTTTATTTTGTTAGATTTTACCAGATATAAGCATGCACAGATGCATGTACAGCTGCATCCAATCCAAGATGCTACCTCTCAGTCATGTCAGGCTTGAAAATTGTTTTTCATACGTGTTTAATCCATGATGATTTTCCCTTCAGGTTTTGAAGTTAAATTACTTGAAAAAATAGGAATAAATATTTCTCTGTGGTGTTAGTAAGCTTTTCTTACAAAGTGGGATCTCTTTGGGTGCCAAGATTTACTTTCCTGGGTCAAGGCAGATCTTTATGCAAACAGATCTAAGTGAATTTGTAGATGTATCAGAACTCTAGTTTTATAATCATTGTTCCCAGAATTATTCTTGTAATGCTTTTCACTTCACCCTGAATGCTCTTATTCAGAGGTCAAGTTAGATGCCTGAATATAATTCCGAAGTAGAAACTCAGTGTGAGAGTTGACACTTAACTTTCCTTATTGGTAACACAAAGTGCTTTAAAATTGCAAGAAGAAACCTCATGCTGTTCCTGGAGGAGCTGAGTTGTATAATTACTGGATTTCTGTACTGTGTAGTAATCAATGATACATTCCTCCTGTGCAAAACGCTTTGCAATCTTTTCACAAGATGGGTAAATAGTAGAAATAATTCAATAAAACTGCTGTATTTAAAAGAAAAAATTGTTATCACAAAATTGAAGCAGGAGCAAAGCTTTTCTCGTTCTTATTTTTTGTAGTGATCATTTGAGAATTATGTCTCCACTGTAAACTTTAATTTTTGAAAGGCAGAAGACCTGGCAAATATGCCAGTAAACTTAAATCCCACTAGAACTACTTTTCCTGAATTCTGATGATTTCTCTGTGTTGATGTTTTCAGTACAGAATTCTGAGTCTCATGAATAGAAATGCTTCTTTCCTGTAAGAGAAATGTGTTGTGTTTGACATAATCCTGAAGAAATTAAGGTCCGCTTTCATTTGGAAATCTGTTTCTGTGCTCTAGAGATAAGAGTAGTAATATCACACAGGGGCACCTGCCCATTATGGCAGAGCTGCCCCTAATCTGCTCTGTTGCTGGTGCAATGTTAATTCACTTTTCTGTGCTAAAACATCTCCTCTGTTGGTAGTGTACATTTCAGACCCTAAACAGAGAATCTTGGGGCACTCAGTTCATGTCATGCATCTGCTCTCCTTTGAGCAGGATGAAGCGGTACTGTCAGACAGGATCTACAGATGTCCATTTAATGAGAGCAGACATCACCTGATAACTGTAAAAATGAAATGCATTAGTGGCAGGCTTACAGGAAGCACCAAAAGCAGCTACCAGTGAAGAGTGAGGCTGGCAGCCTGTTAGGATCTGCTTCACAGGCTGATTGTTGCACTGCTAGGGCCTTAATCCTGTGGCTGAGGTGTGAGCCAGCAAAGACCATGGAGTTTGAAACAGGGTCTAGTGAAGGGCATTATCTAGGCTTGGGTTTGGTTTGGAGGATAAATAATTGTAGGCCTAGATCTAGGCTGGACTATGTTTATTTTGGTTTTAAATCCCTAGTATTGATGAGGTAGTCATAGTGTTTGCCTAGACCAAGTCCTTTGCATGAGGGATGCATTAAGTTGATTTGCACAAATGTTTGTCTGGAGGCTTTTAGAGGTATTTAGATTAGGATTGCATTATATTGATGTTGTCTTTTTGTAGTGCTAGGACTGACAAGCCTTGGCTAAGTGCTGCTGCCAGGAGAGACTGTCTGGTTCTTTTTTTTTTGTGCTGGTGACTGGTGTATGCTGCTAGCTGATTAAGAAATGGAGTGGACTGGGTTCACTTGGGCAGAGTTACTGCTGAAATTAGGGCTTTGGCCACCAGTTGTCCAAAAAGTCATAAAATGCATCTCAAAAGTGGATGCTGAATTACACAGAACTCCAGAGCTAGCCAGACAGCTGTTGGCTCAGCTGCAATCTAGCACTGGCAGAAAGTGCTGGTGAGATAAATGAATTTGATAACAATCCAGGTTAGCAAAAGAAAATAAGGTTGGGACTTAGTCTAGACTTCCTGGGACTTGCAAGGGCATGCAGGAGATAATGAATGTACAGGCAGCCAGCTGGCAGAGAGGTTGATGGGCCTTCTCAGTCTAGGGCCAGGATTGGATTAAATGTTACTTTGAGCAAGGATCACACAATGATTTACTTTGTGGCATGAAATAATTTATTTCAGCACTGGCTTTAAGGCAGAGGCCAAATGATGCAAATTTGCTCGAGCAGCAAAGAGCTACTGTTTATGGTTCACATATTGTTGGGTATTTGAGGTATTATCATATGAGGATTGGGAGTGAAGACAGTAAAGCTCTTCTGTGCAATTTAGTTCTGATGCTGGCAGTTGCTTCCAGAAGACATTATACCTCATATTTGGGAGAAGGCTTCCTATTAGGTGGGAAGTGGTGAATCTTGGAAGCACTGACAGTTTGGGATTAAGATGGTGCTCCTCGAAGTAGATGAGATAGAATTAAGGCTGAGTACACAGAAATAGTAATAGTTAAAGTTTGGTGTAACTGTTTCAGCTTTTGTGCATCTAGAAGAGATACATAGAATATTGTCAATTTGTTCTAAAGCAAAAGTACCTCTTGAGATATGGGTCTTCCTGAGGTCATTTTGGTGCACTGCAAATGGGATTTAGCTGGAACCATGTCTATATCAATGGTTTTTATCAACCTATGTTTATATCCAATGCTTCTTTTCCAAGTAATAGTCATAAAAATCACCCAGTCTGATCTCCTCATATCCAAAAAATATACAATTTTTGTAATAATTTCTAGGTCAAACTCACAAGTAATGATCAGCCTGAAAAGAGACGCAATCCTTAATTATCTTGACTAGATCTTGCAGCAAGTTCAAGAAAATTATTTTTTCTTCCCTCTTGGCAAATGAGGTGAAATTTATGGAAAACCATGACCTAGATCTTTTCAAAACAATGTGCAGCTTTTATTTCATATCAACCTTTTTTTTTCTGTTCACTATAAATTACTTCAGTTAACAGTATGTAGAACATAATAATTTTCCTAATCAATATATTTGACCTTTAGGCCTTGCAGTGATTTCCTTAATGAATGATACACTGTGTAAAATGAGGAATGCATCTCATTGTTCAGAACTTGGTGCAATATTTTCACTGATTCTTTCTGGTTCTCTGACTCTGAGAAACAGGAAATTATTACTACTGTTTAGCTCCTTTCTCCTTTACTTCTGTAATTGATATCTCTGCCATG